TATCTGAAATCGACATAAGCACGAAGCGTTTAACGCGGTCGCAAATACCATTCCCACTTTTTACCTACAAAAACAATACCTCATATTATAACCCTTTTGTTAGAATGAGACGGCTTTATAACAGTGTTTCAAATGATCTAGACATCTTCAATCCTAAATACTTAGTCTTTAAAAATAGTGTCACAAAAATACTGCAATAACTATGTTTGTCCTTACCCTGCCCTACATATTTCCTCTACTTTTCTATTATTTGTTAAAACCTAATAAATCCAAGTTTTAAAACAAGAATTAAATATAAAGTACATTATGCTTGCACCTTGTCGCTTTTTTCATAGTTGTTTTGTATAGTCATGTTGTGTACACCTACTTCGGTTTAAAACTTAGTTTCTCTAGTTCATTATTGTCTTTTGTAATCATGTATTTAGTTTTAAGCTGTTTGGTGAACCTAATAAAATAAATAAATAAATAAAAAAGTAATTCATAGTGTTTAATTAGTAGGCGCGCTCTGTTCGTGAATCTGCGAGCGCTGGCCGGGACAAGGATGTGCCGCGGACCTCATTATCGATGAATACATCAATAAATGACATCGCGTATTGTCCTTTGACGTACGCAGCGTTCCAAATTTAAATGTATTTTGTTCGTATTTTCATAATTGGGCGAGGGGGGGGGGGCGCTGGTGTGTGGGCTGTGTGGGGTGGCGCCGCGGGCGTCATCGCCCCCGCGCGGGTATTTAATGATTATACGCTGACTGCCACCTGATTGCCGACACTGGCGGACTATCGATGATAGGTTAGTATCGATAAGAACTAATCATTTGAGTTTTATTCATACTTCGACTTATTAGTTATGGTAAATTTTAATTAGTACAACTTTGTTTAATGATTTTGCATATACAAAACTAATATGAAACTGTTATATTACGAGTATATGACCTAAATAACTACTGCTTTTTAGTCAGCAATCTCGTAATTTTCTGTACTTAAACAAGAGTACCACTTCTGTAATTTAATAAATAAAGCAAAAACAGATCATTTTTTAAATAGAAAAAGAAAAGAAGTCTACACAAAAGTGAATTGTATCGACTATCGAGTATCGATAACTGCGTACATCACTATATGACAGCGTGATGGTGCCGCGGGGAGGCGAGCACTACACGGGCACGCAGGGGCCGGGGGCACCGCGAGGGGCCCGCACATAGCCTGTATATACCACGCGAGGTACATAAGCGATGGCTTGTCGAAAATTTTGCAGTTATTTTGTGACGAAAACTAGGTTATTCCACAATTTATTCGGTCCATCGACAGAGGGCGCTCCGCCCGGATCATGCATTATGAATGATCAGCGGATGCGGAAATAATACGAACTTTTTTTTTTTGAAAATTAAAGGTTACAGTCTTACAGCCAACATAAATGAAGGTTTGGGAACAGTCTTTTTAAAGTTTTTTTTTAATAATAAAAATTAAGAACAAAAACTTGTATTAACTAAGAGTGAACTCAGAAATATATTTTACTGTGACTAAAGAAAGTTTTAGAAGATTAATTTAGCTAAAATTTGCTTTTATTGTATCTGTTACACTCATAGTTGTGATGGTCAATATTTACTGCACTTAGTGACTTGCTTAGTGTAATTCTCGTACTAAATCTTAACTAAAGAGCGTCCTTAGAGACCTTGATTGGGTCTAAAACAATTAACTCTTATTTTTAATACTTAAATTATCTTGCCATTTAGAAAATCACAGATTTTCAGAAACATCTACCCTCTTTATTATGATACGTGGGGGTAAGAAGCTTATTTGGACTATATGGATATCCGTAACAAGGGTAGCATCCCCCGTGTATATGTTAGCGACAATTCCAATATCGAAGGGTAAGGAATGCGAAATTTTACGATTAACGATTACTATAACGACAAAATATAATGAAAACTAGCTTTCACACTCGTATCTGTCTGCACGGAATTACAATGAACTTAATTTATTTTTATTACAATAAAAAAAACGCGCCTATAGTTTGAAAACACTTTTCCCTGACTAACACCATTGATCAGCGAAAATTAAACACAGAAAACCGCAGTTTATAGCCTGTCCATTTTTAGAGGTCAGTGATATCAAGTCGTATATTACAGTTTGGTTCCAGTTGTCCTATTGAAATGATGGTAAATATCTTTGGTAAATTAACCTAAATTATATTACTTTCTACGATATAGTTTCATTCAAATGGATAGTTCAGAATTGATGGTTTCTTTACCTCTTTCATTATCTAGCCTTGAAGGCGTAGCGTATAATTTGATGAAGGACTATCGATCAATTTTTTTATTCAATTACATTCCTAGAAACTCCGATTACACCAAGTTTTATTATCTATATTTTAAACTAGCTTTCGCGTGTCCGTCCGTGTGGAGTTAAAAAAAGCAAAAGTAAGTAGCCTTTTAGTTCTTCCAGACTATGCTTTACATCTATGCCAAATTTCATCCAGATCCGTTCAGCCGTTTAGGGTACAAACTCTAACAAACATCCATCTAAACTTTCGCATTTATAATAGTAGTATTAGTAAGATGGTAAGATTCTTATTTCCTACATCATAATAATATTGTAAATAGGAAAGTGTAGCTGAATAGATGTTTGTTAGAGTTGCGAAACGGCTGAACGGATTTCGATGATATTAGGTATCGATGTAGAGGATAATCTGGAAGGCATAGGCTACTCTCCTTTGTTTTTATTTATCCAACGCGAACGGAGTCGCGAGCAATAGTTAGTTTAGTATACATTCTTGTTTATTTTTTCACTAGATTGAAAGAAAGCCTATGTGTTCTTCCAGACTATCCTCTACATCTATACCTAAGTATATATAATAAAAAATCATCAAAACTTTCGTATCTTGTTATAATAGTAAGATGAGCGTAAGATGGCACATTTGTTATGTTGGACCGGACCGGACCATAGTCCAGGTTCGATTCCCGACATCAATGTATATCGGTATTCGAATTGCATACAGTTACCGACCTTTTACGGTGAAGGAAAACATCGTGATGCCACATATCCATTAAAAGATGGGTAAAGTCAATCCACAGTAGACCACCATTGATTATGACCTATTCACCACTAAATTAGAGTAGGCTACCAGCCCTTTAGTAGGGCCGTATAGTTGCTAATTAACCGTAGATTTCCACTGATGTGAAATTTGTTTGCCCTTTTCACCAAAATTGTGATTGAACTGTAAATATGAAAAAACACATTACCTAGTGTATGGGATGGTATACACGTCACGTCCATCCATACATTGACAGTCACTAATTAGTTTCAGTGTGTGTGTGTGTGTGAAACGCACTACTGCGTCTTATCTGTCATTGAGGTGTAATTAATTACGGGGTAAATTGCAATCGGCCAACATACGCTACCAGGCGTACATAGCTGGGAAGGGTCAACGGATATTTAGTGTCCGCATAGCAGATGCGGTCCTTGGCCACCGCCCTAAGACGGTCGATATCAGGCCCGTGTCACCCCACACCTAACACCTATCTATGTACACCTGGTACTCGCAAAGTACACGCAATCGACTTAACTCCGGACATGTTAAGCTTCGCTAAACGTTTTAATTTTTTTAATAATTAGTGTTTGAAGCATACCCAATTATCAGCCACAATACGTCGTTTTAATATTCGGTAGTAATAACGATTAAAAAACTGCACAGAAGACAGCCGTAAAATGGAAGCAATTCCGTGTTTCGTTTGATGAGTGTGGTGCCGGAGACCAAATTTAAATCCCTTTCTCCTTACCACCCTTTTCTTATAAGGAGAGGATGGGAAGGGGAACAGGATTTGACGGTGGAGGAGATGCATAGGAAGGAGAAATATCCTCTTTATGTGCGTCTCCTCCTCCGTCGTATAATGGTAGGCAACGCATCTGCAATTGCGGATGTCTTGGTAGGGGTCGCTTCGCCATTTTGGCAGATTCAGGTGGCCACTTGCTCGTTTGCCACTTTATGTTATAAAAAAAACCAAGAAACTTCTAGAAAACAGCGGGTGCACTTCTTCGACTAAACTGCACAACTATTGTGCGATTGTCGATTGTTTCGCAGCCTTCAACTGTTTAGTTGCACAACTAAAAATCGAGTGGCACCTCCATATAAGCTCATAGGAATCAAAGCGTGACTAAACAGTTGTGCGATAGTTTAGTAAAATGTGTGCAAGCGCTCAAGCGACAGATAAAATCAAGTATATGTGAATTGTAATCATAATTTACGAAGACCTAATTTTTTTGGCATAGGTTGTAAGAACATAACATTCGAATAACTAAAAAAAAATCTGCTAAACATTCAAAATATCGAACAAACAATATTGCGAAAACGATGTCCTACAAAAAACATCAAATAAGCATTGTCGAATTTTTGCAATACGGTATTTTTATTGCGAAATGACCTCACTAAAATAATAATCACGTCTATAACCAAGAGGGATAGGGAGACTAATGGTTTCCTGGTACGTTCCTCACTATGTGTACTTCTAATGCTCGTTGGTTTCTTATCTCTAAAAGAATTCAGTATTAAAATGACAATAAACAGTTTAAAACTGTATACACAAAACGATGTACACAACATTGGTATGTAGGATTTGAAATGCGAACTCTTTGCTTCGCAAGCTGTACACTTACCCACTGGACCATCGGTTCCCATAAATCACTAAACTACTCCTATAAAGTCAAGTTTAGTTCAATCCTGCATGATGAAATAGGCCAGTTTACGCTGGTTTGTGTAATTAGTTCTGCATTTCATTTTATAAATACTAGGGGATCATAAATGTGTATTGGTTATGTGCATTGGTATGTCCATTTGAAGCATTATCGATTGGTTCCCGCGAACCCGTGCGATGACCCCAAACTCTCGCCGCCGACCGATTCGCTAATTTATTAATTATTTATTATTTAAAATTTATGGTATCCTGGTCTCAAAAAGTTAAAGCGTCGTTTTAAAGGATGAATAAAATCGCCGAACTTAACTTAATTTTCAAGTTATTTAATTCTTCAAGCGTTAGCACTTTTGTACACTATTTGCCAAAATTAATGAGGACTCTAAATACCATAATTTCTTTTCATAAATTTTCTTAGTGTGGATATGCCTAATTTTCTCATTGTTTTTCTTAATATGGATATACCTTGTTCATTTATATTTTAAGGCCACGTGCTTAATTGTGTATTCTTTTGTTCCAGGACAATTTAACTCCGGAACCAACCGATATGACAGACGATGACAATTTCTCTGGTCAGTATAAAAACGTCATTATTTAATTAAAATAAATTTTACTATGATAAATGCTTGCGTCGGTACTTGCATCAAATCAAATTTGTGTTTTATGTGACCAAAAAAAAAGATAAAAAATGAATCATAAAATACCGTCATAAAATTTTGAAAATTGGCTCGAGTTTTCTTTTTGTCAAATTTGGTAAAAGTCTCTAAATTTTTGTTCGGAAATTGATTGGCGAATCTGATCTGGTGCAGGTGTCGCCCTCGCGAAAGACGCTGAGAAGTTGAAAATGATGTTGCTGGCATGGAATTACCACAGCCAGAGTCAAGGTAAAATATGTTTAATTTTTGACCTGTCCGAGGAAAAGAGTTACATCTTTAAAGTTACTGATCGATGTTACGAGATGTAACATTCGCATCGTAGCTCAGCAACACTTCGTATTGACTGCATGAATGCTCAACACATGTTACATTACACCTCGTAACATCGGTTATATCCACATTAAGATATCTTTAGATGTGTAATTCTTTTCAACGGATTAGTCACTGTGTGTCAATTTCTTTTATTTGATATCGTTTCTTATTCTACAGTTTTTAAGGTCGATTACACTAGTGTGTAGTAAGGTGCGTAAATGATTAAAAATGTCGAGTTTTAAAAAGTCTGTTAGGAATGTATCGCGGAATTGTTCTTCATATAATTGTACAAAAAGTCATCACGACATATAAGACAGTTCAAACAACAAACCATAAACGTATAATCAAATGCTACCTAATTATCTATGCACCGCAAGAATACGTCGATTATCTCAAACATGAGCGATTTTTTTTAACATACTTTTAATGGACATAAGGCACAAAAAATTAAGTGTAATTTGAAACCTTTGAATGTAAAATAGTGTAACAAAGTAACTATCTTACATCCAAATAATAAAGTCTACCTTTAAAATGTGCAGTTCCAGCCAAACTAGGAGTAAGCCGACTAAAAACTGCATAATTTTACTACGGTACCGTTAGTATTGCTATTTTTACTGGCTCAGCGAAGCCATATCTAGGTACCAGGGGCGCAGGCGTTATAGGCGGCCATCTCAAATTATTTATAGGCGAGGGGCTCGTTCGGCTTGACATTTAGAAGGCAGATGCACCGGTCCCCTGCGAATGCCATGCACACCCTCATTAATTTCTGCCGCCTTGGTAACTGACTATGAATACTAAATATTCAAGTCTTTCGAAAATTATGGATTGTCGGGTCTGGATACTTTTAAAAATGGAAACGGGTTTTTGATAACGGTTGCAAGCTTCTTCCCTTTTTTATCTGCACGTTCCTTGAAATGTTTAAACGATGCAAGTAATGCTAAGTAGTAAAAACTTTAACTTTTTATTCAATATTGTAGAATTAAAAATATTCAGTTCATACTTATCAGAATAATAGTAACTCATTATTGGTTAGTGTATTACAGTGGACAGGTTAGGTTAGGTTGCCATAGCAACTAAAATCGAGCCTAGGTGATATTTAAAAAACAGAATTCGTCTAATAATTTCAACATTTTAACAGTTTGAATGTTTGATTTCAATGCCAGCAACACATTTTAAACTATTAAGAAGATTATTAATGTAAACATTGTATTTTGCTTTTTGTTGAATTTAATATTTTTCTAAAACACTCCATTTCTTTTGCAATTAAGTATTTCATTTTTTTCTCTCTCGTCTCGAAGGTCCATAAAGAAACCTTTATGTTCGCCTGGTTGCTACGTTACTAAAACTATGAAACATATGTCCGCCTGGTACCCGAATAGAGTAAAGTTATGTGCACCTAGTACTTACGGGAACGGTGCCATAAAGAGTGTATGCATGTTCTCCTGGTATATTGCCTCGATGACGTTATTTATGTTCCCTTGGTACTTTTCAGGTCGGAACGGTGACATGTCAGAGAGTGGGACGGACAGCATGGCGGACCTTTGGGCGTCCTACCACAGCGCCCTAGGTCTAGGATCCAAGCCACCCAAGCCGCCAACGCCCTTGGCTACAGGCCACTCGGTGAGTTTTAAGGTTGAGAACGTTTCAAATATTATTGTTATACTAACTTGTTTAAAAAAAAAAAATAAAACGATTGTAAGGTAAACGCCCCAATAGTTGACCGTACCTCTGAGAACATTAAATCGGAAAAACCATTATTTAAATCGGTCAAAACTAACGAATGTTGCAGTGTCATACTATTATTTCAAAAAGTTTCAAGTGAAGAACATATTTTTCACTGTTATAACACACTTTAGGAGCCATGTTTGAAATTGTCCAAATTTAAAATTTTGTAGTGTAGTTATTAGAAATGCTTTAAATGTTCGTAATAATTAGTATAAGAAGTTAAGGATTAATCCTTCCAAAAGTTAAATCCCCTACCCTTCTGCCTTTCCTTAATGTCCCCTTTTCTAACAGTGGTCATATAACTTGTGTTCCTATACCCATTAAGTGGTTACTTTATTGGGTTCACATTTAACTAATCCATTTACGGATTGTATGGATAGAGTCCGATCCACGTGGGTTCAGCGACTCCGGGGCTGGAGACGAGTGCGACCCATGATGAGACGTCGTCCTCAGACAGGACTAAGGACGATGACGACGCGGGCGCCTCGGATGACGACAGCGACGACCGCGTCGACCCTCACCATCATGACCCTGAACGACTCAAGGCTTTTAATGTAATTAAGTTTTAATTCCTACTACGCTGTGACGTAATTCATTCATTAACAAAAGATGAACATGATTCTTAACACAATCAGTAAACAAAATATAAACATTTTATGGATACTTTGAAATATAAAAATAACTTTCATCACAATCCATAAATAACGTCATTTAATTACAATGTTTCAGACCCATTTCTTTAAATCTATCCTCACTACCTCCATATATCTTTCCAGATGTTCGTCCGTCTGTTCGTTGACGAGAATCTAGACAGAATAGTGCCTATATCCAAGCAGCCTAAGGAAAAGATCCAGGCCATCATAGACTCTTGTACGCGGCAGTTCCCGGAGTTCGCAGAAAGAGCTAGGAAGAGGATCAGGACGTACTTAAAGAGTTGCAGAAGGAATAAGAAAGTCAGGGGAGACGTGCCCACCAGTGGGAACGGCGGCAGCACGCCTTCTACCAGCGCGTGGGACACCGCGGTGAGGGTCCGAAATATTATTTGCATTATATTAGTAGTATAAAGTATAAACTTAGTAACATCTACAGGTTCCTAAAGTGTGTTATGTATTATGCATTTTATACACTATGCTATTCGCTTAGTTTGACTATATTCTAGAATGATCTAGATTTTGGACACGTGCAACATTCGGTAGAACATGAAAACCAAACATCTTATTTGTCGCATGACTCAAAAACTACTAAACCGATTTTTTTAAATTCTTTCACTAGGAGAAAATCCTTCTTTCTTGGAATAACGTTAACTGTTTATTTCATATCTAATTATGTATAAATTAATAATATCTCGTGTTATA